TCTCCCCAGAAATGGGGGCCTGAGAACACTGGACCTGCTCTTCCTCCCCTTGCTCCCCCATTTTTGTGCTTCTAGTTTGTTTCTTTAATTTAACAAGTGCTGCAGTTAAATTCATGCCCATCTTTCCCCCCGAGTCCCCGCAATTCTTTTCCTCCTGCCCTGCCCTCTCTGGGGGCGGGATGTGGGGGCCCCTCCATCAGCTCCCACGGGAGGCCTGGGTTGGACTCAGCGTCTCCCGCAGCTGGGGGCTGGACCACAGCATCTGTCTGAGCAGTTAGAGCGTTTTTCTTTTCAGATCGTGTACAGTAGATTATTTATTTTGTTATTTTGGAATAAAATTTATTTTATGGCTTATGATCTATGGCCCCCAAGGGGGAGAAAGGGTGGTACGGGAGTGGAGGGAAACTGGCGGTGGCTGGGGAAGTAGAAAAGAAGCAGCGGGAGGGTCCCTAATACATGGAGAGGACCACACGCCTGGGCCGGCCCGACTCCCCCTGCCTGGGGCGGGACTGGCAGTGCTGAGCCACAGAAGCTAAGCCGTGTGCGATGTCACAGCCACGCGGACCTGCCTGAGCAGTCACTCAAAGCTGAGTGTGCCTGGGTTAGCATGTATCAGGCTAGCACACAAACCCGTGTCTTTCATGCAGTGTCTCACATTTCAAAAACTTGTCACAGGGAAAAATCAGATAATGTCCTATGTATGGCTGTACGACTAATGTGCGTGACATCTATATGTTAATGTGTCTCAAGTACACACACACACACACACACACACACACACACAGCTGTACACCAAGATACTCAGCCCTGTACTTTGCACCATTTCACACACAACCGCAAGCCCCCATCTGACTGCCGGGTCTGGAGCTGTCTGGGATCTGTTTTTTAATCTGGACAAAGTCCACATCAGTAGCCAAACGGACAGGCCCTTCTTGTCCTCCCACCCGGGGTCTCCCGAACTGCTTCCTCGTTCCCCCAGGGCTGGGACCCGGCCCCTCCTCTCCCACACCCCCAGCCTCTATAGTGCACATGTGTGCTGCTTCCCACACGTGCGTCCGGGGTCCCGGCTGGGAGGGGAGAAGGCGCCTCCGTGCCCTAACCCGTGCTCTTGCTCAGCCCCCTCCGTGCTCGGCCCCGTCTCCGGGAGAGCCGTGTGTTCTGCGTGTTCAGGCATGCAGGGGCGTGTCTCACTTTAGAACCTGAATTTCTCCCCCGGCACAGGAAGGGAGAGGGCGGCGGGGGCGGGCGTGTGGCGGGAGGGAAGGAGTGGATAGGCTCCACCCGCAGCGCCTTCTCCTGGCAAAGTCTTCCTCCTCGCCAGGGAGTGGGTGGGGCTAGGGGGACACGCTCCCCATCTTTTGCTTAGCAGGAGCATGGGCAGGTGTCCAGAGCAGGTCCGTCGGGGTAGAAAAGCTGTCTCTGAGCTCCCCCTCCAGCTGGGATCACCAACTGGGGTTGGCCCTTAGGTCCATGTGGGACATTGAGATCCCAGCCTGCCCGTAGGGGTTGGGCGGCAGGAGGGGCTGGGCTCCCATAGGCCCTCCCCCCGGCTCCCCTTGCCCCTCCAGAAGAAGCTTGGTGAGGTCCTGTTCTGTGGGCGGCAGCAGGGGCGGGAACATGTCTTCGCCAACCCTGCCGGGAGGGAGGAGAGAAGCGGTAGGCTGGCATGGCACCCACGCCTCTAGCCCACACTCAGCCGCCGCCCCCAGGCCACCACTCACCAGGTGCGCTGAGTGAACCCCCCTACTGGCTGGTTCAAGCAGTTCTCTTCTGCCATGGTCACATCCGAGCAGAGCAGGGGCTCGGGGCTGGACATGGCATGCTCCTGAGTCTGACACAGTAGCAGGCTCCTGCTGGGACCAGAGAAGTGAATGGAATGGTGGTGGGTGGGGAGTGAATGGGGCATATGGGACCAGGATGGGGACAGGCACTCACTGAGGGTGAGATTGGTCAAAGGGCAGGCTCATCGGGTTCAGGTTGGAGGACATCTGCAGGTGAGGTCTGGAAGTGGGAAGAAGGGTACAGTCAGAGAAAGCAAGAGCTGGGTGTTACAAAGTCAAGACCACTGAATGATTTTCTATTCCTTATCCAAGCCGTCTCTACCATGTGAGCTCAGGCTTCCCATCCATAAGGTGTTTGTGGGAGCCTGAAAGGAGGGGGAGATGGGGACTGGGCTAGCTAATTTCTTTTTTTTTATATATAATGTTTTTGTTTTGTGTCAAATGATCTTTTATTGAAATATTTTCCTTTGTAGTTCTTTTTTTTTAAAATATATTTTATTGATTTTTTACAGAGAGGAAGGGAGAGAGATAGAGAGCTAGAAATGTCGACGAGAGAGAAACATCAACCAGCCGCCTCCTGCACACCCCCCACCGGGGATGTGCCCGCAACCAATGTACATGCCCTTGACCGGAATCGAACCTGGGACCCTTCAGTCCGCAGACCGACGCTCTACCACTGAGCCAAACCGGCTTCGGCGAGGGCTAGCTAATTTCTGATGCTTATTTGGACTCTGAACTTTGGTGGTCTGTTTCCCCCACCTCAACTCCTGAGAGGGAGATATAATGTCTTGACTAAGAGTGTTAGCTGAGGAATAAAAATGTCTAGATCACTTCAAGGCCAAAACAGATGGATAAATAAAAATCAAGATAGCATGCCCTGACCGGTTTGGCTCGGTGGATAGAGCATCGGCCTGTGGACTGAAGGGTCCCGGGTTCAATTCCCGTCAAGGGCATGTACCTTAGTTGTGGGCACATCCCCAGTAGGTGGTGTGCAAGAGGCAGCTGATCGATGTTTCTCTCTCATCGATGTTTCTAACTCTATCCCTCTCCCTTCCTCTCTGTAAAAATCATATATATGTGTGTGTGTGTGTGTGTGTGTGTGTGTGTGTGTATGTTTGAAATCATATATATATACAAAATCAAATATATATGTATATATGATTTCAAATATATATATATATATATATATATATATATATATATATGATTTTTACAGAGAGGAATATAAATATAAATTTCTCTATATAAAATCAAGATAGCAAATAAGAGACTGTGGATTCCAGGGGCAGAAGAGAGAATCTAATCCTTATATATATAGCCCTTGCTATAAGCCAGGTGCTTTGCTCAGCAGTACACATATTATGAACTCATTTAGCCTTTACAATAATCCCACGAGGAAGGTATATTTCTCCATTTTACAGACAGGCACCACAGTTAAGTAACTTGCCTGAAGTCAGTTAAACAGCAGAGCTGGAATCCAAACCCAGGGAAGTCTGGGTCTTAACCACTGAGCCTCAATGGAGTGAACAGAAGAGACAAAGAAAGCTTTTTGCTGCTCCCTTCTCCCAGGAGAGCCTCTCCTAACCTTTGAATGTCCCTCCCCTTTGCAGCTGGGTATCCCCACCCCATCCCTAAGAGGTTCTGCACTTACTCTGGGAACACATTGCCTGATTCCTCCTGGGAGAGGACTTGATATGAAGGGATAGAGTGAGAGTGCGGTGGGTACACCTGGTGCCTGGGGAAAGAAAGAATCCCCTGATGCCAGCTCTTCTTCTGGACACCCCCAGCCCCTGCCTCGGGATGAGGAACCCCTTTTGTGGGAAGGAAAACTCCATCCTTCAGTCCCCAGTTCTGGCTCTCCCAGGCGCCCGTGCAGAGAGCCGGCCTGCACAGACCACTTCTATCCCCATCTCTCAAGCTCCTTACCCCATATCTGGGCTGAGCTGCATGGTCATGGAGTCAGGGGCCATTCTAAGATCATAAGTGGGCAGCATAGCAGACATATGGGCCTCTGGAGCGGGAAGTGGCTGGTCCCTGGAGGAGGGAAGGAGATACAGTAACTGACAAATGGCCACCACCCCTTCCTGCCAGTAAGCACCAGGCCTTCCCCGTCATCCTCACCACCACACTCACCTTTCCACAGTCATCTTGATGGTCGCTGGGACGTAACCCCTGCCATCCTTGCCTATCTGCTCATCTGTTGTGGGGAGAAAGGAGATCTGTGGCGTGCTCCAGGGGTAGGCTGGAGAGGAGGTGGGGAAGGTGGGGATGGATGATGGGCAAGTGGGAGAAGTGGAGCTACAAAAATGTGGCGAGAAGTCAAGATGACACAACGGGCAGGGAGGGCGCCACTGGGACCAGGGAGGAGTGGGCAACAGGAAGGGGGGTCAGAACTGCCAGCTCCAGCTCACGCTTGTAATGGCTCCGGAAAGCCTCGTCCTTGGGTTTGTTGCCGTAGAGCTTCTTGAGCTGAGAGAGGTCCCGGATCCGGTCCCCCAGTGAACGGATAGACAGGTCTTTGGCGGAGAATGGCTGGATGTTCTCTATCTGTGGGGAACCTACAAAAGGAATGAGACCCTGAGCCACGCCGTCCAGATTTCCTTCCCCTTTAAAAAAAATTTTTTTTTCTTCCTCTTTCCCAGCCCCCACACAGAACTCAATCTACCAAGGCAAGGAGGAGAGGACCTCCAGTGGGGTCCTGGGGAGGGAGGCCCACTAGTCTCTATCCCCACAAAGCTCACAGTGAGAAAGTGGAAGTTTTGACCATAGAAGGAAGAAGAAAAGTCGGAACTAAAGAAGAACTTTCTGAAGATCAGAATTGGCATAAGGAAGCTAAAACGTTTCCTTCTCAGAAGAACTCGCAGAGGGCACAGGCACAGACAGGACTGGCTGGAGTGACCTCACCATCCTGGCCCCGGATGACGTGGGCAATGGTGATGCCTCCAATTTCTGAGTCACTGAAGCGAAGAAGGAACGTTCCGTCAGGCTCATTGAGAAGAAGGCTGGTGACATACTGCTTGCTGATGAAGCCAATGATCAGCCTGAAGGAGAGGATGGGGGTGGAGGTGCTGGATGGGAAGAGGGAGCTGGAGGTACAGCTGCTCACACCACCTGGGGCAGAGACTCACCGATCTGACCAGTAGCTCTTGAGACAGCGTTTGGTGAGATCCAGGACACCATCGAACCACTGCCAAAAGGTGAAGCCACGACCCAGCAGGATCTCCTGTGGGGGAGGGAGGAGCTGGTGTGAGCTCACGAAAGGGCTAGAGCCGGAGCCTGGTTAGGGCAAGTATGGGTTGTGCGTGCCCACATGACAGAGTCTCAGGGCTCAGGCACCACACTGGACCTGACACCCATCAGTGATAACAGCCAATACTCACATTCACCAGGTGCCAGCCATTATTCTAAGCCCTTACCATAAATTAACTTATCTGATCTTTACAAGGTAATGAAGGTAGGTCTTACAGCTGTCCCATCTTAGAAGTAAAGAATGGAAGCCCAGAAAGGTCAAATAACTTGCCCAGGTCCACATGGCTGGTGAACTCCACCTTTGCCCAGAAAGTCTGGGCTAGAGCTCCTCATATCCACTAGGACCCACCCGTCCCCAAGGAAGCCTGGTGGAGTCCAGAGAAGGTGGCTGCCTGCTGGGTGTGAATGTCTGGCTCCCTTTGCTAACACATGCTCTGGTCATGTGGGCTTTTCTTCCTTCCTTTTTTTCTAAGTGAGCAGAACATGACTGCACTTACCCTGCTGGTGGCCAGCCAAGACACCCAGATTTCTCCCCTTCCCCCCGTTCTTGTAACAGACCCAGTTCTGGGGCCATCTTATTTTGGAGGGAATAAAATATAGTAGCTAAGAGCAAGAGTCAGAAATATGGGGTTTCGCCAAAACCGGTTTGGCTCAGTGGGTAGAGCGTTGACCTGCAGACTGAGGGGTCCCAGGTTCGATTCCGGTCAAGGGTTGCGGGCACATCCCCAGTAGGTGGTGTGCAGGAGGCAGCTGATTGATGAGTCTCTCTCATCAATGTTTCTAACGCTCTATCCCTCTCTCTTCCTCTCTGTGAAAAATCAATAAAAAATATATTTTTTAAAAAATTAAAAAAGAAAACAAAAGAAAGAAATATGGGGTTTCCTCCCAGCTATGCCACTCACCTGCTGGGAGGCCTTAGACACACTACTGAACCCCTCTGAGCAATAGATTCCTGGTCTATAAAATAACGATGATAAGGGTACCTACCTCAAAGGGAGGTTGGAAGGATTAAGTGAGATAAATGTGTAAAGTGCTAAGCATAGTGCCTGGCTGGTAGTAAGCTGTCAGTACATGGTTGCTGATACTACTGTGTGTCCCTGTGGGATTTCGTCCTGGTCTTTGCAGTAGAAATTGTTTCCCCCTGGGTCAAAGTTATTTTGAGCTGTGTTTACGCACAGTCTGGGTGAGTCATCCAAGTCACTGGCAAAGAGGGAAGACAGGGGGTTCCTCATCCAAACCCTAAGGGAAGCCAGAAAACGCATCCTCTGGGCTGATGGGATTTCCTGCCAGGACAAGGCTTCCTGATGGACGTGAAAGGGCATGGTGAAGACCCCAGCAGTCAGTCCCTGGGCAGAGGTTGGGGATACCCTGAAGAGAAGAAGAGCTTGGGGACAGGATGTCCGAAGGACAATGACCTTGTTGAACTGTGACCAGGACACAGAACGATGCTGGAAAGTCTCTATGCTGAGGCTGTTGTCGTTGAAGATCTTCTGGGCCAAGAAGAGAAAGTGCTCTGGGAGTAGCCCCTGGTTGGTTCCCACCTCAGCCATGAACTTGAGGTTCAGAGTTTCGCACATCTTCTCCCATGGCACCCGCTCAGCCACCACAAAGGGAACACGGTCCTGGGGGGAGGGGGAAAGAGAGGGTGCCTCAGGCAACCACCCTCATTCTTACTCAAGAGAGGCCTTCATTCCTTCCACCTCCCCAAGGCTGCCCCTCCCAGGTGTCCCCCTGAGCTCGCTCACAAAGATGGTGCTTTTACTACAGTTTAGGGTGCTGCAACATGATATAGCTAAGACCGGTATGAAAAGAGGCCAGAAGTGCATGAGAAGTTAAGATCACTCCCATTTGAACATGCCTGCTAACCCACCAGCCTGCACCCCATCCTCATGTTACAGCCCCCTCCCCTCCTCAGTCTTTCCTCACCATCTCAGAGAAGGCGTTGTCCCACAAGATGGTGGCTTTGGCATTGTTGTCTTGGTTGCCGTGGACGATGACCACCAGGGGCAGAGACAGAGCCTACAGGGGTGAGGAGAGGGGGTTCTGCATAATGGGGCCAGGGCTTCCTTAGAGAGCTGGCTCTGAGGGGGAAGCTTTGGACTCACATAACATAATTAAAAGATCATGGGGAGTGGAGGGGGTGCAAAAAATAAAATAAAATAAAAAAGATCATGGAAGCCCAGGCCACTTGGCTCAGTGGATAGAGCATCAGCCTGCAGACTGAAAGGTCCCAGGTTTGATTTCAGCCAAGAGCACATGCCTGGGTTGTGGGCTGGAACCCCAGTGGGTGGTGTTCAGGAGGCAGCCGATCAGTGGTTCTCTCTCATCGATCATGTTTCTATCTCTCTTCTTCTCCCTTCCTCTCTGAAATCAATAAAGAAATATATATATATATATATAAAGATCATGGCATGTTTTCAAATGCTTTCTAAAGCTTAATGAGGGCCTTACTATAGAGAAGTGATTGTGAGCCAGTGCCATGGGCAGACCTCCAGGTTTCCAACGCCAGCTCCAACACTTAGGAGCTGTGAGACTTGGGCAAATTTGCTCAATCTCTCTGCCTCAGTGTCCTCCTCTAATTGAGGCTAGTGATACCACCCTCCTCATAATGTTATTGTGAGCACCGTGTGTGTGTGTGTGTGTGTGTGTGTGTGTGTGTGTGTCACTTAAAACAGTGACCTGGTCTATCAAAGGTGCTCGATGCTACTACACTGTTATTCCATGGTACGCGCCCTCCTGTTCTTGCTCCTCGCCGTGCAACCTGGAACGCGGGACAAACTCAGAGGCTATGAGGCGATCCTGAAGGTTCGGGGATTGAGGGCCCCAGTGTGTAGCATGGCGGGGCCCTGGGGGCCCAGACTGGGCAGGGCTGGAGCCTTGGTTCACCTGGAGCTGGATGGGAAGTTTGTTGGGGCCAAGCAAGAAGCTGGTAGAGAAAAGCACAGCACACTTCTCCTCCGTGACTGATTCCGTGCCCTTCCGCTCACACCGCTTGATTTTCTTCAGAAGCTGCAGGATGGGGTGAGGGGGAGCAGGAGTGAGGACAGAAACTCCTGGGCCCCCAACAGCCACTCCAAGGGGAGTCTCTCTCTCACACACACACACACACACACACACACACACACACACACACAGTGCTTCCTAAGCCCTCACCAGGTTCTTGAACAGGGCGGAGCAGCAGTTCCCAGAGCCGATGTTCTCGAAGGGCACGGTGTTGTTGGTGATCTCCCCAGAGCTCTCTCTGCCAGGGGAGGTCGGAGAGTGAGAGGGCTGGCCCAGGTGTGGAGAGGAGCCCGAGTCCACGGGTGAATGGTGTGGACTTCCGGCTCCACCTCTCCATTTCCCCGCCTGGGTTCTTCAGTGAGGCATCCCATCTGGGCCGAATCACGATGTCCCCCTCACCTATTCCAACACCGATGGGACCCTCCCCTTCTGCCTTGGTCATTCATCCCACGGTCCTCCCTCCCTCCTGGAGGTGCCAGTCCCCCAAGCTCCTCTGGCCTTCTCCAGCCCCAGCTTACACTCCGGCCCCAGGCCCCTGGGGGCTGCTCAGCTCCCTCGCCTGCTTCTCCGTCACCATGTCGGCCCTGACCAGCGGGAACTTGGCAGAGTTCCCCAGGAACCGTGGACCCAGCAGGAACCGAACTCCAGCCTGAAACTTGGTCTGAGTTTTCAGAACCTGAGGGGGCTGCTTCTCCACGAGGAAGGAGCTGGGAGGAGGGAGGACAGTGGAATGTTAGCAGCAAGGGTCCCTCCCCAGGAGCCCTCCCCACAGCTCTAGCCCTCTTTCTTCCTGGGGTCTGCTCTAGGCCAGCCTGGGGCTCACGGGGCACATACCTGGTGACGAGGGTTCGCAGGACTTCATCCAGCCGGTTCACCAGCGCTGCCCGGGTCTTAGGCTCAAGCTCCCCGCCAGCTGCCCCCACCTCCTGCTGCAGCTGGGAATAAATGTCCACCAGGCTCTCACACCTAGGGGCAGGACAGTGGTCAGGGGGCACAGGGTCCAGGCTACCTGCCCTGGCTGAGAAGCCCTGCCCTTAAGACCAGGAAGAAAGCAGATTAATGTGTGTGGAGGGGTGGGATGGACTGGGGGTGTTGCTGCCAGCACCTGGGCCGAAAGGGCCCTGGGTGGGCGCTTCCTGTGGAAGCCCAGCTGCCTCTTCCCCAGGGCTCTGATACCCGGATCAGCTGCCAGCATGGCTGGTGCTTTTGCACAAGTTAAAAGATGCTCTACCCGCCAAAACCGATTTGGCACAGTGGATAGAGCGTCGTCCTGTGGACTGAAAGGTCCCAAGTTCGAAACCTTGGTTGTGGGCACATCCCCTCAGTGGGGGTGGTGCAGGAGGCAGCTGATCAGTGTTTCTCTCTCAGTGATGTTTCTAACTCTCTACTCTCTCCCTTCCTCTCTGTAAAATGTCAATAAGACATATATTTTAAAAAGATGCTCTTCCCAATAGGCCAAATAGAAAAAGAATTCCCATCCCTCTGGGCATGGGGCCTGAAGAGAACAGTGTGGGTGGGAAGAACTCCCACTTGTGCCCCTTTGGCCTGGCGTACTTGTGCAGGACACGCTCTGAACAACAGGGTGCGTAGCTCTGCCTGGACTGGCTCCTCTGAGTCTTGGCCCTCTTGCCTGGCTTTTTCTCTCTCACACCTGTGGGTCCTCCAGCAGAAGCAGCAGGCGCCTGCCAACCCCCAGCCCCTTCCCTTCTGGTCAGCCCTGCCCCAACCTCTCCTGTAGTTGGGTCAGGTTCTCATCGAAGGGCGCGCCATTCCCTGCCAGCTGCTGCTGCCGCTTCCAGATCTGGATCCTCTTCAGCACCAGGGCCTGGGCAGCCTCTAGCTCCCCCACAGTCTCCTGCAGCACCGTGGCCAGGGCCTGCGGGCACGGGGGGGGGGGGGGGGGGGGCTGAGCCAGGACTGCACCCAGCTCCTCACCCAGCTCCTCACCCGGCTCCCTCCTGACAAAAGGACTCTTTCTCCCTCTCTGGCATTCTCTCACCCCACCTCTGTCTGCCCCCCTAGGGTCTAATCTCCATCACATCACGGATCTGAAATCCCACAAAGATGGCACTTTGAGCTCAAGCGCCCCCTCTGGGTCCATTACTCACCTCACTTGGCCCAGTCCCATTGGCAGACGTTTCTATCAAGCTGTGCAGAGACACTGAGGGTGGGGCAGAAATCAGAGGGACAGGACGATTTGAGGTTCAGGCACAGTTACGGTCTGAGAGGAAATCACTCCCACCCACTCCCCCAAGCCCTCTGAGGGCTCCAGGCCCAGGTGCCCACCTTGGCCAGCCTCAGCCTCCTGCTTCAGGGCTTCTCGGAGGAGGCAGATCTCCCCCACTCGGTGCCGCAGCCGCTGCAGGGCTGTGTTAAACTTGAGTTCCTCCTGCTTCCAGTGGAAGGACATTGGCAGGTGACGGAACTGCGCGGGAGGGACAGATGTCAGCCATGTAACACTGCCCTAGCTGGTGTGACTCAGTGGCTACAGCGTCGGCCTATGCACTGAAGGGTCGCGGGTTCGATTCCCTGTCAAGGGTAGGTACCTGGGCTGCAGGTGTGCGTGTGGGAGGCAGCTAATGGATGTGTCTTTTTCACATTAATGTCTCTCTCTTTCTTCCTCCCTCCATCCTCCTACTTTCTCTAAAAATTAATGGGAAAAATATCCTCAGTGAGGAATCACACACACACACACACACACATACACACAAACTGTAACACTCTGCCCACTCCTCTCTACCCGGCCTCCACTCCATAAAAGGGTGCCCGCTGCCATGCTCTGCAGAGAAGAGAGACCATTTCCCTTTTCTCCCATTTGACAGTGCTTCCCAACCTTTTGGAATCTCCCAAAGATAATACCTCTCTCCTTGCTCCTTGCTCCTTGCACTCCTCCCAGGCCTCACTACCCCCATCCCTCATTTGAAGTTTCCCTGAGCTGGGCTTGGGTTCACTCTG